TCTTTATGCCGTATTATACGATGCAAAAATATGTAAAATTCGATTGCTACACTTTATACATATCAGTTTTAAATCTATATGGTGCTTACGCACGACAATAAGTGAAAATGACTCAACCTGTAATTACGCGCAGTTGTGACAAGAAATTTATTAGAATATTCAAAGAGGAAACGCAGTTTCTGTCCTTTGCATTATGTTTGTACGTACTGTGATGAAAAATAGCGTTTTTTATCGGATATTGTGTGGCATTTTGTGTGTCACATATATTGTCGCCTTTAAACAATTTAATATTTCTATTAATGTAATCGTTTTGCTTATTTAAATATTTATAATTCGAGGACTGTAAGCGTGAGATGATATAAAATCACTGATATGAACCATGAATTAAATGGTGATTTTAATTCATATAAGATTAAGTTATCATATTTGGACTTTTATGTGTCTAACAAGTAACAATAAATAGTTTTGTCTTCGATCTTCTCTTATTGCTAATTCACGTGACAAAGGTACGCAGGATTAGCAAACAACAGTATTAAATGTTGTACATATCGAAGAAAACTTTCGGTTAAGGGGTTGAAGTCTTTTACCTATATTTAACTTCAAAGCTTATAACAGAAAGTCAGTGTATAATAACTCTACGGACACGTTAAAACCATCTGTCAATGGTGATAACTTATTAATTACCGCAATGATTAACGTCTTTACCAATTATTTTCAACTTTATCTATCTTACAGTAAAGTATTTGTTATCTCAGAAAATGTTCACATTTTCTCAATTTCTTCTTCCTTCACCCACACGTTGCCTAATTAAATTATTGTCCTGCGAGTCTGCCATATTCTCCAGTGTAACATAAATATGCATCGTCCTTCGTGCGCTACGCGTGCAGTTCAACGACCGCTACCGTTCATGCCCTATCACCTGACACCTAATTATCGGACTCGATGACAATAACGAAAATGATTGCGTTAAGGTCCCGCCCGGTTAGGAACAGTTGGTTGGGCGGAACCTCCACGATGAAATCATTATGTAAGTAGCAGCGCTAAATGTTCAGGCTCGGGCCTACGAAACGGAAGCTCCAACAGGGATCCGTAGGGTTCGTTGACCGGGGCTGACGCTTTCTGTCAACCTGGCAGGGGTCATTGGACTAGTCACACGCCGACATTCTGATGCAAAGGTGGACATTAATCTGTGAAAGGGGTAAGTGCATCCGGTGATGGCGTGTTCACGCTTTTTCGCGTGGATTCCGTTGCATAGCTTTTTTTTTACGTCAGCCGCGCGTGCACTCGCATGCCAGTAATTGTTTACTCGCAGTTCGCACATGTCAACTGTGTTACAGTTGAACATCGGTTACCGGTGCCACCTGATGTTTTCAGCGTATCTTTCCCGAAAGAGTTTCTTCACTCGCATCTTCGATTTGCTATGTTCGTTGATATTTCTAACCGCTCAGTGATCACAGTCAGGAGCTAAGGATCACGTTCTACATCGATCTGCGAGTAAGTACTTGCATTACGACCTTACAGTACTGTTTAATTCCGGTATTTGTTTAGCAAAATATTGATAATTCCTAAATGGATGTCACTTTAAAGATAAGGAAACAGTCTGAGATGGTATTCTTGCAAATGATTTATGAGAGAATTCTGTTTGAGAGCTTTGCCTTTTGAAAATGCAATTTCTAAATGATACGGCAATATTGAAAATGTTGTTAATCTTATGGGAGCTTAATGGATATATTAGAGACAAGTTGTCGTTTCATTGGTAACACAAAATGTAAAATTCTAAATTTATGTTTGGAAATTTAAATGTTATTTTTATATTCCTATATTTTTATAACGAAGTTGGATCTACTTATAATTATAATAAATATTCAAGGAACAGTGGGTATTATATAAACTAAATTATAACTAGATTCGAGTAGCTTTTTATCGAACAGCATACAATGACATTAAACTGTGAAGTGAGTTACAAGCAGATTCTTCAAAAGGTTTTTAATGTTTAGTTACGCGCGGCGATGAAGAAACCAATCGGCGGTCACTAATTGAAATGCTTTGACAGTAAAATCAAACCCGTAGGAAAAACTATGACGCGATCCTTAAAGGGATAAGAATCGTTTGGTTGGTCACTAAAAGGGCTTCTCTTATCTGAGATTCATGGATGGGATTACGGAAGAAATAACCGTAATGATTCATGAAACCGTAATAATTCCTTTATGGCGCGCGATTTATCGATCTGTTCAAACGGATTCTGTTTTCATCACTGTGAAGGAATTTGATGCATGGGACGTTCAATTACATCGTTGACGATAGATTATTTGATAAATATTTACTTCAAAGGACATCGTGTCGATGACCTCGACCTTTGCAGGTGTTGCTAAGGTCACGATTTTGAATAATTTTTCCTAATAACTTAATCGACCGTCCCTTCTGAAAAACGTTTCAGCATCTTGCTCATTCTTTGTAAAGTAACACTCTCCGCTGATTTCAGTGACCTTAAAATATGTTGTCAACGACGTCATGCTAAAATCCAAAAATTCAACATTAAATTGCTGTTTATTTTAATATTAAATTGTTGTTAAACTCGTGTTTTACTTAAACTAAATGAAATAACTTAAATATTAAATATCTTAAAAATCAAGTACAGGGCAAAGTATAATAATTTACACAACAGGTTGTTACATTATGTAATATTATTTTTCTAGTTAAGGTGGTCATTACAAATACAGGTTCACGTTAAGTATTTTCATAGATAGAAGAAGAATATGAAGGTGCAGAAAATTCGGTGTGCATCTTCCCAGGAGACCAATCATCGAGCGTCATTCAGTCACGAGCTACTCTTTCAAAAATGCATGCACACGCTGCTTATGATTACAGTATTAAACCAATTAGAAAGACGTGGAAGGTTTGACATTTGGTTAAACGATCGCCAAATGGCTGTCGAATCGCGTCATGCATGAGAATAGAAAAGATCGTTCTGTTTGTCTCAGGCAAAAGACTGATGACTATCTATGACTACCTAAAGGCTTGATTGCATGGCTAGCGGCTGGAATCTTAGTTCCATCGCATAATCGGGATTCCAAGTTGATTACGAACGGTTATGTTTAACAGTCGGCCATTATCGATGACAGACGTTACGTTTCGTAGTAAACGGGATGATCGAGGAAATGTCAATTATTGACAATTATCCACGCGTAATCATCGTCAATTCAGGAAAATAGGCTCGCCGGTGAAATGTCGCGTTTTATCGAACTCCCAGGAATTGAATTCTCGCAAGTTTAATATTAATTGTAAGAGTTCGCGATGACGAGATTTCTATTAATAAACTTTCACTCGTAATTTATTGACGATGTGTTAAAAGCTTGGTCGTGTTGGGACCGACTGCTATAAAACCAGGTGGCATTTGCATGAAAGCAATCAATGTCCAATTACAATGATTATTCACTGAAAAATTCATTGTAATACAACCTTTGTTAATTTTAATTTCTTATTGCAACAGCTGCGGAGTTCGTTGTCGTCGGAAATGTGCTTGAGACTTGCAAAGTTCAATAAAGAAGTAAACCTTCCATTCGTTGGAGATGTAGTTATGGATTATTGAAAAAGAATAGAACTGGAATTAATTTGTTGAAGATGCAGGAAAGTAAAGGAAAATGTGCATAGGAAAAAATGATTTCTTATTTGAAATATAATTCTAGCTCGAGCTGTAGTCATAATAGTTTCTGAGAAAAACATGGGACGCGATTAAAAAAATATTAATTTCTGCGTACTTACCATTTTTAAATCTATAATTGCTACATAAAGTTATACGCATATAAATAAATACTAAATACCTTTAGCGAATAATTCTTCGACTTTATTAATTTTTCGATTTAATGATAAGACTAATTCTATTATACCTTAGAAAACTGTTGATTGCTAACTCGAAACTTGAATAGTTTCTGCTAAAAATCTAGTTTCTGCTAAAATGTATTAACTGAATTGCAATCGCTTATATTATAATAAAACCGATCCGCGTACATCGTCACAGATCGTCAAGTTCAGCTCGTGCGATAATTTCTTATATAATCATCAAAACGGCCTTATTAACTTCATTCAGTGTTTCAGTTTTTTGATTTCTTCGCTGTATAATCGAATTTGAAACAATGTCGAGGCTGTCGTTGCCACTAGATTCTGCGATAATTCATTCTCAACGGAGTTTGAAAGGTCACGTCGTGTCAAGGAACTTCCGTTAAAAGAGATATTTCGTTAAAGAGATACTAAAAAAGAATATTATTATTTATTTTTTCGTTATGATTAAATGTCACTGTCTCTATTAACTTCTTATATGGGAACGAACATTTCCTGACAATTTGGTTCAATGCAGATACTGATTTTCAGATTTTTTCAAGGTACCTCTTACTCTTTTAATAATAATTCCTATAGAGAATTTGATTTCTTTACAATTGAACTGTGAAAAATGTGTATAATTAACGATTTCGATATCTCACAAAAATTAAAATACGTGTAATTAAAATTCTGAAGTTAAATTCGAACGTCTAAACTATAATTATTATTACTTTATGATTTTTCTCTTAATCAGATTGGAGAAAATTTGTTAGTAATACCCTAAAAGAAAGTGAGGAAAAGTTATAACTCTACAAAACTTATCACACGTTAATACCTATAATTTAAACTTCACCATTCAATTGTTAAAGTTCAAATAAAAATTTCAATTTTGAAGAGTTATGATCATTGAATGAAAGCTCACATGATTTTTTATCAATTGAAACAATCACATTTGGAATAAATCTTCGCGTTAAGCTAGTAAAACTTTATAAATCAATAGAATCGATCGTGGAAAATATTCATGAACACTGGTATAATTAAACGTTGTTCGAAGAAAACACTTATTAAATAGTCGAATTATTTATTCGTAACAGAAAGATGATAGTACACTCGAGCGTTTATAAGAAAGCGTTGATTCCTAACGATCGACGTTGCATGAGCATGTCGAGTCATTCGTATTCTTAGACGTTCGGAGACCCTCGGTTTTTCGATGATTCATGCAGTTGCCGATCGCCTTAAAGATGTGCTAAACGGGTACAATAACAGTCATGCTAAATAATTTATGCGCTGCATGAAGTAATGTTTATTAATAAGCGTACTTGACAGAATACGGAGAAATTTTTAATTGTCGTCTTGATCTTGACGGACCATTTACGTTCACAGACTAAGTACATAGCTGGTGCAATGATCGTCGACTGTTTATTTACATATGTTGTTGATAAGCATGACACATATTCCATAAAAACAGTAAAAATTTGACAAAACGCGATATAATAAGCTCTGATCAATATCCTGTATAAGTTACGTCGATACATTTTCTAAATACTCAATATAATTAGCAACCTTATTTCACACATGCAAATATCCCAACACTTAAATCACCCTGGCAACATTAGTTTACAACAATCCCAGCTACAATGCCCCCGAAAACAATACAAAAGAAAACGACACAGTAAAATATTATATTTTCGCACAAACCTCACTTCACACTCCATTCCAGCTGTACAAAAAAATACTCCAATTGTTCCAGATTCTCGCGTATTCGAATTGACTTCCGATAAATTCGTGCAAGCCGCCGTGCCGATAGGACCCAATAAAATCGTATTCAAGTATCGCAGCTCAGTTTCCTGCTACAACGTAATAATCCACCGTCGAGAGTATTTCGCAAAGTCTTCGAATCGCTGCAATAACGAAAATATCGGTAAGCCGAACCGCTTGGAGCGATTACGGAATGATACTTAACGTTTAAGCACGAAACAGGAAATAATTTCGCGAAGGTACATCGCGATTTTATCGGTCCTTACTGCGAACTTGTCCGCGATTCTCGTAGGATCGCCGGAGAAGCTGCAACCACGTCGCGAGGGAAACCAGCCGATCTGAAAGCGACAGCACGCGGGTACACGTGGACGCGCACGCAGCCAACGCCTCGCGTCTCGCGTATCAGCCCGCGAGGACGGGTTAGACACACACCCGTCGATCCAGTATGTAGATTTGTGCAGGTGTCGCAGCATTTGCTTCGCGTAGTTTTCAATTTTAATAAACCGAACAGGAGAAAATGGAGAGCCATCCGACTTACACGTTACGCGCACGCGCGTGTACTTACACCGCAGGGACTTCTAAATGTGAAATACCGATATTACATCGGTGTTCTTCGGTTGTATGTTCGTAACCCTTATAAAAGCCGGAATATTAGAACACTGCTATTATCGCGGATTTTTTGTGTTGTCTTATGGCGAGAATTTTCCTGCAGATTGCTTTCCACTGCGGAGTTAACCGTGGGATTTAATTTGGAAAAATCTCTCGTTGTGCGTGCAATGAAATCAACTAATGAAATGTATACTCGCCAGATGCAGGCCAAATGCATTTGACCGATAAGCTGAGGCGAAACGAAGAATATAACACGTTTATCTGGAAAAATAAAATTTGCGTTTTAAGGTTACGTGTATACTCGTTGAACGTATTCAACCGGTTAATGTTACAATTATCGGACGGATCAGGTTGACCCTCTTCAGAATGTTTATTTTGCAAGTATCTAAATTGTAATATTAGAGCTAAAATTGACGGCTAAAACGAATAAGAATAGACTTAAACTGTTACTAAGGAATGTTTAAACAGTTCAGTATCCGTAAAACGGATGAATTCCGTAAAGCTAGTGTTAATATTATTTCGGTTTTCACTTCCAGGCGAAATACTGATATCAAAATCATATCGGTGTTCAGTCCTTGATGTACAGGGTGTAAGAAAGTTAGTACTCGTTTTTTCGAGGGATGACACACGCACCCTTGGATCGACAAGCATTTGTAACAAAAACTTACTGGGCAATTGTGATTTTCAATTCTGTTTAGTTTTCATCTATTTCACTCGGCGAAAATAAGAGAAGTTCAAAAGGCGCAATACGTCACGGATTAATAATTCGCGAGATGTAAGTCCATCGAGTTTAGCAGTAATTAGATTTTGTAGAGTTATACATACAGGGTTTATTAATACCATGTAACTTACCGTGTGCCTGAGACACTAGATATTTGTGTGGGTAGACAAGTAGTATTTAAGAGAGCATGCAACCCTGGAAAGACCGAGGTTTTTATGGGGGATATTGAATAGTATGTCATATTCTTTTTATTACGAAAAGGTAGAAAAAGATAAAGTCATATAGCATTGCGTGACTCCATTGCAATCCAAACAGGTTACACTTACAAAGTAATATTGAATACAAATGTTTATGCATATTATAAATTTCAGATACTAATTTCTCTATAGAAATGAATAGAAGTACAATAAATTCTCTTCTATAACAAAATTTAACAGAACGATACCTGTTATATAGGAAAATCATAGTACTCTTAATAACATTAGATTTCATTAAAATCAATATTCTAAGTCTCACAGGTCACAAGATATTGGCATTAAAACTACCGAGTCTGACATTATCAAACTTTCTATATGAACACTAAGAATGCAGCTATTGACACTTTAATTGACTTATGATTCAATTTGCCTATTATTAAATCAATTTCTTTAATAATTTCTCAAAAAAGCATCTGTTGTCTATTTAATAATTGGAAAAGAAGAATTTAGGAATGCGTCAATCTGATTGATTTGGTAGTTTTAGTGTTAGAAACACATGAATTTCGCAATCTTCACAAGTTATTCATTCCGTTCGTCGCATTAATAGTTCGCATTCCTCGTCTACGCGGACTATGGTTCACAATTACGACGAAAATCGTCATCGACGGTTCCATTGATTTTTAATAATTCATTATAGAAAAAATCTGATCGACCGACACCCCTTCCATCGCGCTGATTAATTGGAAAATTATGTGTTTTCTTCCAATTAATGGAAAGGGAACCCCGCATGCGGCGGTGAATGCATGCGATTGCAGTTAATTGGCGCAGCTCGCGGCACTTTGGTGGCCGGCATTAATTAGGAAAGTCATATATACCTGGCACGTTTCTGGATATTATTCGGCAGAAAACCGCGGCGGCCGAGTCTGCCTGCCGGTTTTTTTCTCACTGCCGCGCTGGTCGATAGCTAATTACGCGTTTACCTGCCGAGCGGAATTGCCCGCGGTATAAATTAAAATGATTTTAACCTTTTGCCGCGTTTTTCCTGCACAACAAACGGAAATCATAAATCGCCGGTTCGGTACCGCGTTCAAACAGAGACGCAGTCGCGACGCGCTTGAAGCATGTTTGTTTCATTAATACGAACACGCCGGGGAAATAACGCGATTTTAAAATCAATAACGCGATATCTCTTTAACATCGGAGCGAATTATCATTACTATACCGTGAATCTTTACGCGAATTCATATTTTTAACAATGTAATTGGAAAATAGGATTACTATGGGAAATGATTTTTCTTAACGAATGTTACAGAAAGCTTTACATTTTAAATATTTATCTTTTCGTGTTGTGTGGAGTTCTGTGCAGTTTTGTACGTTCAGGTCTATGGTAAATGCATAAGTTTCCTGTAGACAATTCTGTATCCACTGTGGTACGTTTTTGTGAAGAAAGAGAAATATAACACAGAAGATACAACAATATATCGGAGCTTTATTGTTAATTTGCTTGTATAGTTGCTTCAAGCTAATTTTGTTAACTGTTCAATCTACAAGTTAATTATTTGTAAGTATATACTGAATAATACTGGAAGGAATGGAAACTCGAATTCGAGGAGAAATCGATTGATCTTTAATAATTAAAATTACATGAATTAAACATACGTTCTACATCCATTCCATTTTAAATACAATTACCATAATATTGGCAACTATTTATGTTCTTATTCATTTCTTCGTAACGTATCTCCAACATTCTAGCGCCAAAAGTGGACGAGGATTTTTTAAGTATACACAAATAATAAGAAATTGAAAATGAATGAACAATATATTTCAAGTGAATAAGGGAACAGCAAATTAAAATTCATAAATAATACGAAAGGAGCTACAAATGCCATGCGTGGAAGCATTCGTTACTACATGATTCGCGTGAAATATGGTCACGTAAAATGCACCGAAGTTAATCTGCAATTACGTCATTTATGAATACCAAATTACAGAGCTCGATATCAATATGACAAATCGAAATAACCCACAACAGTGGTAAGTTAAAAGAAGTTCGTAACATTAATGTAGTACAGTAAAGCTTCATTTGTCCGAACTAATTCTGTCGCAGCGCTTGGTTTACCGAACATACTGCTGAACTCTTATGATAACCCACGCCACGCAACCTACTGCTTACATGAACTCATGTCTTTCCCCGTATCCAAGCTTCGGAACAAAAGTTAGCGTATGCATGAGCTGGAATCTAGTTATAATATCAACTGCTATTACACGAACGGATAAACTGTTTATATAAACAAGCAAATTATTATTTAAACTCCTATTATTTGAATGATCCAATTACACACACGATATTATCACGTAATGAGTTTAGATAAATGCGGTTCTATTGTAACTGGAGAAAACATGCTTTGACAAAAATCGAAGAAGCTTCTACATAAATATGCATATGTACATGTATATGTGCGTGAATAATATTTTTATTATATATCTTCGATAAAAATAAACTAAAACCTTAGTTGTTCATTTTATGGTATAAATAGATCTACTATAGAAAATGACATAATTTCAGAAAAAGTAGGTACTATATAAATATACGAACATTCTGCATAGTTGCAGCCATGCACAAAAGTAATAACTATTTACCTGTCGTACACAAATGTCAATTTTTGGTAAATATTGTGCAAAAGTTTTGATAGACGGACAGTTTAAAAATATGTATTAAATCGATATTTGTTTGAATAATATATTGTTTCAAAATATTAAATACATGTAATGACGAATAATAAGAATATTGCTTATATTGCATGTGATATAGTGTACACGAAGTTAAATATAGTACTTCAAAGTGAACGTATCACGTGGATAGCTACAACAGAATTTATTGTTATGTTTTATATTAAATTTGTTACAGTCGATACGATCTCATGCGCCAAGATCGCCGAATATAAATTCACGGATCAATGGCGAACATTTTGCTAAATTCGATTAAACATTTTCTTGCATGCATAAACAAATTTCTGTAACTGCGTTCCAGCGGGCCGTAAATTGTTTTAATGGACGTATTTTAAATGCGTCGCAGGTGGAGCGATAATATTATGAAAATATGTAAAAAGGAATGAAATCATTTAACTAAATTTAATTGAATCGGTCGACTAGAGAATTATACAAAGAAATAAGTGGGACATAAAAACAGTGCTCATTAGAGATTTGAAACATTAATGATCCGGGACCATACATATCTTTATAAACCGGGCCCTTTCGCAAAAATATTTTAGTGTTTCGTGAACATTATAATTACTTTCATCGGGAGGTCGAATGGTAAATTAATAGTGTCATATAAAGCGTAGCAGTTAGTACTATACTATATATAGAAAACTGCTATAATAATATATATGATACATATATAAAGTTTTAAAGTTTTAAAGTTTTAAAGTTTTAAAGTTTTAAAGTTTCAAAATTAATAGTAAAAAATTAAAACTATTAATTTTATACTGATTTAAGTATAAAAATAATATTAATTCTAAAACTTTAATTTTGGAGATATTATTCGCGAAACTTTAACAGATTTGCAACAGATTTCTTTTTCCAATAGTTAGTTACAGTATAGTTACTTTAGTAATTAGTTCACTAATACTTAGCAACGTCATTTCCAAAATTTCTCTAAATACTTGACTAGCATTGAATTTTATATTATGCATGTTCTCGGTTAGGATATTTATCATTACTATTATTAGTATTATTATTCTTATCGTTTTCATAGGCATAAATAATTATAGTAATCGCATTAAATATAAGACGAAGAATAAAACTATTAAAACTGAAGTAATAATATTGCTTACAGTAACGATGAAAATTG